CGCTTTGGGATTTTTAGGAGAGTCGGCAACGCTTAACGGTAAATTTTAGGAGAGTCGACAACGCTTAACGGTAAATTTTAGGAGAGTCGGCAACGCTTAACGGTAAATTTTAGGAGAGTCGGCAACGCTTAACGGTAAATTTTAGGAGAGTCGACAACGCTTAACGGTAAATTCAGGAAAGTCGGCAACGCTTAACTGTGAATTTTAGGAGAGTCGACAACGCTTAATGGTAAATTCAGGAAGGCTGACAACGCTGAAAGGCTGATAACGTTGTTCTTGGGTAAGGCTTTGGAGAAAATACTTTTTTTATTGTTCTCTGTATTCATATGGTCTCTGGCAAAACTAGTATGCTGGACGTGTTATTGTGATTTTGGGGCAATTTGGCGTTCGACTACGATATACGAAGGCTTTTCAATAACGTCTAATGATGAATTCAGGATAACAAATAACGCGCTAATTATATAGTTCTATTATATAATTCTATTCATATAAGTGGAATTTCAGCCACTAATTTCGCATTCACGAATACAATTTCTTGACAACGCTATTCAAGCGGCCACCTACGATTAACGGTGAATTAAAACGGCTCACTCCGCCTCACAGAAACTGACATACAGACCCTCGTGAGAGATTCTATTATAGTCATAAACACAAGAAGACACGCTTCCAGAAAGATCTAGACCAGACAACAAGCAAGAAAGGATCTCACTGGGAACGTAAGGAGCATCTCTTAAGAGCCGGTCACAAAACGGCGCAAACTGTGGGTATATTTGGGATAGTGGTGCACGTGGCCAGCGAAAGCTGTGTTGTTACGGAAAAAGGCTGGACTGGAACATTGCCAGTGGTTGATCAAAATCGAACGGCGATCCACGGCGAATGCGGCCGCATCGTTAACGCTAGAGCTGAAGTAGACTTCCACACATTGCATCCAAGCTAGACCAGGACAGCCCAAGATTTTGTTGGAGACTTCGACAGATTTTCAACGTTTGCCAGCGAAAAGCATTTGGTAAGTCTTTATTTCTATTCATTTATTCATTGATCTTAAAACAGTTGGGTAGTACCTTCAGTTTAGAGCAACTGATTTCCGAGGAACCCCAACAAAACAAGTTACAAAGGTAATAATAGGCATAAATTTAATGTTTTTTAAATGTTTTTCCTCTGTTTAAAGAGCAGGAATTGACCAAAACTGCACTGTTGAACCATATTTAAAGGTACCAATATACGTATGGTATGTTTTAGCCAGGTTGACCGTTTGGGCACCATACATGTACTAGGTACTCTTTGTTAACAACTTTTCTCCAAACCTTCTCTGTTTTCTACTATAATTCTACATTCTTAAAACCATGTAAAAGTACGTGGATGATGATCTATTAAAATAGAAATAGGGATATCTTGCCAAGACGGTTATGTTCTCGTGCCATTTGTAGGTTTGTGTGTTTGCTTGTTTGTTTGTTACTTCTTAGTACTCATTTTACATGAATCAGTGAGCACATTGGTGTTCAGTGCCTTTTCCAAGTGCACAACAGTGCGGCCTGCTATGCACCAGGATTCGAACCCAAAACCTTCAGATTCTGAGTCAACAACCTTAAGCACAAGACCGACTTGTCGCCGAACCCTGACGTAATTGAAATACTCAGATGTCTTACGTCCCATCCGAAAAGCTAGAGCACCTGAGGTAACAGGTGTCAAGTACCTTCCCCAGGACACAACAGTGGGGCCTGCTATGCACCAGGATTTGAACCCAGAACCTTCAGATTCTGAGTCAATAACTCTAACCAGAAGACCACCTTGCTAATTACGTCCTAGCACTCATTGTTACCAGAGCGGCGAAATGCATGTAGGCGTCAAGCGCATTTCCTACGGGCACAACACTGGGACCTGTCAGTAATTTGAACCCAGAACCTTTAGATTCTCAGTCAATAACCTTTGCCACAAGACCGCCTTGTCTCCGTACCTTGACGTCATTGAAATACTCAGATGTCCTATCCGAAAGGCTAGAGCACCTGAGGTAACAGGTGTCAAGTACCTTTCCCAAGCTTAAGGACACAACAGTGAGGCTTGCTATGCACCAAGCTTCAGATTCTCAGTCAATAACCTTTGTCACAAGACGTCGTCTCCTTACCCTGACGTAATTGACGTCCACAGATGTAGGCCTTCTCTGTTTTCGCCTGACGTGCAAGCTTTTTGCTCTCGGCGGTGGAAAACTACGTGAAGTCGCGGTTACCATGATGCTTTAAAGCTGGTGGAACTATCCCTTTGATCATGAAGCAACATGTGTCCATGGCACAGGTCTTTAATCTCATATTGCATGAAAGGCCGGAGTTTACCACATATGGCGACTGATATATTCCGATGATAAAGACAGATAATTAGATATGGAGACAGATTCGTGATATGTCAGGGTTACCTGAAGAAGAGAAACAACAGTGGAGAAACGTGAGTGCATGTTGCCTTGGATAAATAAAATGAAATGTCAATATGCTTGCATCGTGCTCTGTGTGTTTGGTTCATACTTCATAATTATGTAGGCCAATTTTACACAACTCTCAATTGTATACATTCACACAGCATACAGGTATTGTCATTTTGTTAACGAGTTGCTATTCTAACTATCATAATTAGAGTGTCGTCACTGTTATCTGAAAAGTAGTTTTACAATTGACATTGTTGTTATTCTATCGAGGGACATTCTCATAGTCCCAACGCAACACGCAGCAGTTATCATAAATTTATTCCCATCTATAATAATGGTCCCTTAATGCCTGATCTCTGCCATTTCAGCTACCAGTGTAAAAAAAAAACAACAACTGAAAACGACGTGGGAGTTGAGCCATCGGGAAGGTAGCTCCAAGCCTGACTACATCCGGCCTCCAATAGCCACCCAACGATCAGACTCCAGGTAAGAACAAGCTGGTGTGTTATGCCGAAGGGCTGTACTCTCCAAGCAGATGTTGTGGGGAAATGATCGTTAGCTTTTTAGATATGGCCTTTTTTTTGTGGTCACTAATCCCGTCGGTGGCCGGCGACCTTCTCTGGCTAATGGATACTGCCTGGCCAATTTGATACTGTGTTTTTGCAACCGAAAGGGATCTGCTTGGAGATTAGGAGGGCGATACAGATACAGAAGAAGAAGTCAAATAAGCCCCTGACGTACAGCGAGGATGTAAAAAAAAACAAATCAACAACTGAAAAACAACTTAATCTGGAAGGTGCCTCCAAGCCTGACTACGTCCTGCTTCCAATAGCCACCCACTGGTCAGACGTCAGGTAAGATGAAGCTGGTGCGTTATGCCAAAGGGATAAACAGATACAGAGGAGGAAGCCCAACCAGCCCCTTACAGTGTGGCAGTGTGTACTTAGTCTCCTGTGCAGGCTCCGGGGCGGGTGGGAATTTTTTATAGCGTTTTGTAGAGTTTTTTAACGCGTTATTTTAATAGCCGGCCATCCTACAACCAGCCGCTGAGAGAAGGTCCCATTCCACCGGTCAGACCCCAGGTAAGATGAAGCTGGTGCGTTATGCCGAAGGGCTATACAGATACAGAAGAGGAAATCAAATCGGCCCCTGACAGCGAGGAAGTGAAAAAAACAAATCAACAAGTGTAAAAAAAACAAATCAACAACTGAAAAACAACTTAATAATCTTGAAAAACAAATTAATCAGGAAGGTAGCTCCTAGCCTGACTACATCCTGCTTCCAATAGCCACCCACTGGTCAGGCCTCAGGTAAGAGGAAGCTGGTGCGTTAAGGGCAATACAGATACAGAGGAGGCACCTGACAGTGTGGCAGTTTATACCACAGTCTGTGGGAGGAGGCCCAAATCAACCCCTAACAGTGTGACAGTTTGCACCTAGTCTCATGTGCAGGCTCCGGGGCGGGTGGGAATTTTGAAACAGCGTCTTGTAGAGTTTTTAACGCGTTATTTTAATAGCCGGCCATCCTACGACCAGCCGCCGAGAGAAGGTTCGGGCTATACAGATACAGAGGAGGAAATCAAATCGGCCCCTGACAGCGAGGAGGTGAAAAAACAAATAACAAGTGTAAAAAAGAATCAACAACTGAAAAACAACTTAATCTGGAAGGTAGCTCCTAGCCTGACTACATCCTGCTTTCAATAGCCACCCACTGGTCAGACGTCAGGTAAGATGAAGCTGGTGTGTTATGCCGAAGGGCTGTACAGATACAGATATAGCTACAGAAGAGGAAATCATATCAGCCACTGGCAGCGAGAAAGTGTAAAAAAACAAGTCAACAGGTGTAAAAAAAATCAACAACTGAAAAACAACTTAATTTGGAAGGTAGCTCCTAGCCTGACTACATCCGGCTTCCAATAACCACCCACTGGTAAGATGAAGCTGGTGCGTTACGCCGAAGGGCTATACAGATACAGAGGAGGACGTCCAATTAGCCCCTGACAGCGAGACAGTGTGTATCAGCGAGAACTTAATTGTGTATAGTAAGCTACAGCAGGAGTCTCTCGGTGTTAGGAGAAACAGCCTCGGGTTAGTTTTTCTGCGCATAAAAACAAATCATTTTGTTTATATGCAGGAGCAACCTAGGAGACACCAGAAACAGCCATGTTTAATCGAGCTAGGGGTTCTCTTAATTGGAATTACTTACTTCAACACAAATACTGACCATTAAAATACACATGATTGTCACATGCACATACGTATATAAGATCAAAAAAGAAAAGAAGAAAGCAGATCATATTATATGCATACGAAAACAAGGAAATCCAACGGATAACTAAGTACATGTAACTGATAAAATGAAAATCACATCTAACGGAAATCATTTCAGGTAAGTAGGAATAACAAACATTATAACACACATACATAAGTAAATAAGATCAAAAAGAAAGACAAAAAAGCAAATCATTATACATTCACAGGAAAATAAGGAAACCCAACAGATAAATAACTAATTTATGAAATAATACAATGAAATGCCAATCAAATCTAACAGAAATCATTTCTGATATAGACAAGGTAGACCAAACATGGCGATTGAAACCAGCGGAAACATCTCAAACGTCTCAGACGACTTCAACCACACCTGGAACGAAGAACAGTTCATCTACGACAAGCATAAGCAGAGTGCGGCTGTCATCGCAGTTTTCGCCCTGGCCTATCTCTCTATCTTCCTGCTGTGTGTTGTCGGTACGTATACCTATTCCCCTATTTCATACACTTTTCTACAGTACTTAAAAGTGTGGATATGTAAATATTGTACATTTGGAAAATGTAGCAGCGACACCTGTGCTGCAGTGCAATGTGAACCAGTCAGAATTGTCCTGAGGAAGGTGACAGACGGTCACCGAAACATCGGCTGAATAAAAGACTTGGTTGTGTAAAAAGAGTCTCTTTACTCAGCGTCTTACCAACATGATGAAACTATTCACGGATGTACTTAGCCAAGTGTTGCAAAAATGTGCAATAAAGGTCTTCATTCATAAGGTCTTGATTCATTCATTCATTCATACTCAGTGTACGTTGGAAAATTCATATTTGAATCACTACAAAAGCGACACCATATTGTAAATAGCTGATATATTCCCTGAATTACAGAATGTAATAATACTCTTCCTAAGAAAACACAATAGATTAGCTTTAGTATCATTATGGACTAGCTCGTTAGAATTATATTTTAGTATTAGTTTATGTATGTACCATTGTTGTTTCTTTGCCATACATTGTACCAGCTACAATTGTTGAGCAATAAAGTTGATTTGATTTATAAGGTAACGTGCTAGTGCTACTGGTGGTGGCGCTAAACAGGAACATGCGGACGGTGACCAACTTCTTCCTGGCTAACCTAGCAGCGGCGGACCTTCTGGTGGGGGTGTTCTGTCTACCGTTCAGCCTGGCGGATAGCATCTTGATGAGTACGTTGTTTGTTTGTTTATTTGTTTATCGTACAGCATCATGACAAGTAAGTTTCAGTCTTCATGCATAGCCGTGCATTTGATTAGTGCAAAGCCGATTGACCGCTTCTACGTTCTAGGCACTGAGCAAGGTGTCAAACCAAACAAAGATCACTGTAACATGTTTTTGTAAGGCCCCATTCCCACTAGGGCCGAATTGATTCGCTTTGATCCGGCTTCGATACGGCTTGAAGACGAATTAATTCGGCTGGATCCTGACAATTTTATCCTAGTGGAAATGGGGCCTAATTGACCTTAAAATATTTCATATTCAGGTGCCTGTTTGTCTGACATGTTCCGTATTCCTGTTCGCAGGCTGGGCGTTCGGTGACGTCATGTGCAAGACGTTTCTGACCGTGCAGGTGTTGTCTGTGTCGGCCTCCGTCTTCACACTCATCGCCATAGCTGTGGACAGGTGAGGACCCTGGCACTCATAGCCGAGTATGGCTAAATAGACAGATAGACACATAGCCGCATATGGCCGGTTGGGCACATAGACACATAGCCGCATATGGCCGGTTGGGCACATAGACACATAGCCGCATATGGCCGGTTGGGCACATAGACACATAACCGAATATGGCCAGTTGGATACATAGACACATAGCCGCATATGGCCAGTTGGATACATAGACACATAGCCGCATATGGCCAGTTGGATACATAGACACATAGCCGCATATGGCCAGTTGGATACATAGACACATAGCCGCATATGGCCAGCTGGACACATAGACACATAGCCGAATATGGCCAGTTGGAGGCATTAGACACATAGAAACATACACACCTTCTTCAAGTCCTTGTTGACACCAAGCACAGTTGGGGCATCATCACGAATAACGACTAACCAAGAATTGAGCTCGAGGTGTTCAAATCCTCCCAGAGGTATTTTCCAAGATCTATCGTAGAGTGGAACTCGTTGCCACCAAGTCCTTGCTGCCACCGTTGGGGCATAATGACAAGAAAGTTTTAAACAACTTCTAGGTTAGGACACACCAAACTTACTCACATGTTCCCCCTTCCCTTTAGATACTACGCAGTTGTCCTCCCCACCGCCTCGGGTGTGACCATGGCGAGGATGCGGTACATCCTGCTCAGCGTCTGGGTCCTGGCGGCGGCGACATGCGTGCCTCAGGGACTGGTCCTAACCAGCACTACATACCCAGGTTGGTAGAAGGCATTATGTAGGTTTAATCTGTAATTTCCAACACAAGGAATTGGACTTACCTAAATGTACGACTGCACAACTCCAGTCTTTGTGTCAAGTTGGACCTGCAAGTGGTGCAATACTTGGCTAAATTACAACATACAATTCCATGCAATATATTCTGAAAACAAAAACAATCCAGATCCAGATTACTTCATCATAAATAATTTCATCAGTTGGTGAATGATTAAATGGCAAAGTTCTTGTTCTTGTTTACCAAGAGCTTATCAGATTTTTCGATGAACGTCTGCCATCATAACTGCCCTGATGAAGATGACAGACAGTCACCAAAACATCGACTCTTGTTAAGCAAGTGGTTGTAGAGAACTTTGATATTCTCTGCAGCTGATTTCTTGTTAGACATAGAACCAGAAAGAGAAATAAACATTTGTATCCTCAAGTGTGTACAGGTCGGACGGCAAGGAATAAACACGGCCCGAGGACGGATCACTGGGGTACTCCCGACCTGACACTCAACATGTCAGAAAAATGTTGACGTGTTAATATACCTATGAGCACAATATTACACTCAATGATGTCCATCAACAACGACAGCTTGGCGGCGATCGTTCAAGAAGTTGGCAATCCATGCTAGAGTTTGTCCGTTGTAGATCAGTAAGCTATGATTGATTGGAACGTTCGAATTGATGTTACATTTTTGGGGAAATAAACCGTGTTGCATTATTCTGTACGTATCGCCAGGTGTGTACACGTCTGACGGCCAGGAGGTGACGGCCTGTGAGGAGGTGTGGCCGGGACAGCCTCACCGGGCCGGGTACGTGCTGGGCCTGTTGGCCACCAGTTACCTAGAAACTACTGTTCTATGTGTATCGCCAGGAGTGTACACGTCAGACGGCCAGGAGGTGACGGCCTGTGAAGAGGTGTGGCCTGGACAGCCTCACCGGGCCGGGTACGTGCTGGGCCTGTTCGCCACCAGTTACCTAGTAACTACTGTTCTATGTGTATCGCCAGGTGTGTACACGTCAGACGGGCAGGTGGTGACCGCCTGTGAAGAGGTGTGGCCGGGTCAGCCTCACCGGGCCGGGTACGTGCTGGGCCTGTTCGCCACCAGCTACGTCCTGCCTCTCGCCGTCATCGCAGCCATGTACGTACGGATCAGCATGCGGATCTGGTACAGGCCTAATCCTGGAGCAAACCAGCCCAGCTCTTCAACACTGCAAGGTATCTTCATCTAGTTGTTCTCAAACGTATTGAAAGTTTTAAACTTTAATATCAATTAACAATAATATTGCAAGTTCCTGCCCGTAAGCTTATTGCAAGTAACATGAAAATAAAGGATGGACAACAGGATGGGTAATAATATAGTAGTATGTGACTACTCTAACTAATAAACACTAAATTGTAAATTATTATTTTGGTTTGACTTCTTTTTCTGAGACAGTGGAAGACGAATGATCTAATTCCAGTATGACCTTTGATTTCACTTGGATTTATGTTTACTTTCTACTATGTTTCAATCATGCGACTTCTTTACTGGTGTCATATGGGATGGGCGACAATGTCGCAAGACACAAGAATAACACACATTCATTCATGTATCCATTCATTCATTCTATCTCTAAGGTACGGAGCCAGTCGTGACGTACAACACCCAAGTCGACGCCGTCACCATCCACCTGCCCACCCCTGCACAGAGCCAGGCCTTGCAGAAGAAACTGCACGTCATCAGGATGCTGCTGGTTGTGGTTGTGGTGTTCGCGCTGTCCTGGCTTCCCCTGCATGTCTTCACTATTGTCTCTCTCTTTGCTGACTTAACGGACGACACGATAGTCGTTCTGTATCACTATGTTTTCCCTATAGTACAGTGTATGGCGTTTCTCAACTGTGGGATCAACCCCATCATATACGGGTATTATAATAAGAACCTCAGGAAGGGATTCTATCAGCTTGTCAGATCATCATCTTCATCATCAACATGAATCCAAACTGTATCTATATCTGTATAGCCGGTATAAAAGCACTTCGGCGTAACACACCAGCTTTTTGCCATGTATCAGACAACAGCATCATGATAGAACTTGGAAGAAGAACTTTATTGCACAACAATTGTACGTGTTAATGGTCTTGATTTGTCAGTGGCTACAGTGTAGTAAGTAATAGTTAAGCAGGCTTATATTAAGTCAGATGATTTTAAGATTTCAAAACACAGGATAGTTCAGACAATGTACGTACACCACGGTGAAAATGTAACTTGTAAAGAAAGGAAAATACACATAGACCTGTTTTGGTTCAATAAAAATGTTAAGAACATGAAGTGTTGAATATCTGAATTTTTTTTTTAGATCGTTTAGACAACTGATGTCTTGAACTGTACTCCTACCTAGTAATCATCATCAATTTATAATTTTATTTATTTATACAGGGTTAGCATATCGCCAATGGCGCTTTTCAATTCTCCCTGTGACATACATAACACAATAAAAGGTAACTTAAGTACAATCAAAGGGTAGTTATAAACGGAACAGACTAATAAACACTAGAATAACGCCTATTATTTGCTCTGATTTTCCTCACGACAATGTACGAGATGAGCACGAGTGCGACCATCGCGGTAAGAACAACCCCGATCACAATCGGTACAGTAGTGTTCTTCTCTAAGTCCTCCTGACATTCCTCGGCCGTCGAAAACTGTCCGGACTTGACCCCGAACGGTTGGACCTGAACCTGACTGGCGAGGATGCTCACATTTTCGGTAACGGTGATGTTTACGTCGGATTTACACATGTAAGACTTGTCGGCGGTGGTGGAGAAGATATTCAGCGTGGTGTTTGAGACTTGTCTACGGGTGTTTGGGTTCTTAGTCCCGGGGAAGATTGAGGGAAGCTCGGTGTACGAAATGTCGAACTGGGACAAGTGGAAGTGATCGTTAGCTCTGACGAAGTCAAACGTCACGCTGAAGATGTCGTCATGGAAAGTCAAGGTCAAATTGGAGCGGTCAGGACCACAGGAGCCTGTAGCGTTTGCAGTTGTCGGTAAGTTCAAAATGGCGGCACCAGTTTCGCTCTCAACTTTCGCGTAGATGATTTTGAACTGCAGGCCCATATCAGCCATCAGACAGACGTGACCTTCTGTGTCCTTGACCTCGTAATGACCTTGAGGTGGTTCTGGAGGTGGCGTCAGAGGTCGAGGGGTCGTCATAATAGTTGTGAGGTTCTTGACCGGGACTGTAGTTGGTTTGGCGGTGGACACATTGCCTATGGGCAGGGTAGTAGCTGAAGTAGTGGTATGTAGGATAGTAGTAACCTCGCCAATAGGCATTGCAGTTGCAGTAATACTAGTAGATGGGATGGTAGTGATGTTGCCAATAGGCATTACGGTTGCAGTAGCAGTGGTACTAGTAGATGGTATAGTAGTAACGTTGCCAATAGGAATTGTAGTTACAGTTACAGTAGTACTAGTAAAGGGGATGGTAGTCCCGTTGCCAATAGGCATTGCGGTAGCAGCAGTAGTAGTAGTGGATGGAATGGTAGTAATGTTGCCAATAGGTAAGATCGTGGGCGAGTGATCCTTAGTTGTGGTAGGATACGGTTTGGTCGTTTTCGATGGGGAGGGTGTGGGTTTAGAGTCACTACAAGCCGTTGCCTTCGAGAAGTCTCCACTGGTCGGAACGTGGAAGGGTTGAACATGGATGGTGTGTATAGTCAGAGTAGAGACAGGTCTGTCAGGGTCAGTAAAGGTAAACACTTGCTCTCTGTCGCACAGGTACGAATGGGGAAAGTAAAAACTTGAAGACGTTGAAAAGTCTTGAAGACCAGACAGAACAGACGATACCTTCTCATTCGCGTTCTTCGCTCCTGGAAACACGTCAGGGTGCAGGGTGTAGTATATGGACGCGTTGGTGAGCCAAAACATGTCCCTTGTTCTGACAAACGCCAAGCGTAAGCCGAATGCACCGTCCGATTCCATGGTGTTACCTGTGTTGAATCTCAGATCTATGTGAGAATGGTAGTCGTTATCAAAATGAGAACAGTGTCCGCTGGCGCTGCTGTCTGCTGGGAGAGAAAAGGACACAGTGGACGCGGTGTTGTCAGTCTTCGTGTAGCCAACGTGAAACATGGCGACGACGTCAAGTAGCAAACATACGTCGCTGTAGACATCGCTCAGCACAAAGTGGCCCTCGGCTGGCGGGGAAAAACTGCCATATGAGCTGGCCCGTACCCCGACTGTTAGGGCCAGTAGGAAAACTGCCTTATGGAACACGTTCATGGTCTTCTGATGAACAGAATGTGGTGTTCCAGAAATGGCAGGAGAAAGCAATAAGAGTTATCTAGGGCACTCATTGTTTGTGTTTGTTGACTTGATTTAGGGGAAAGATCAATGATTTCAGTATCAGTCAAGGGGAAAATCGTGATCCCTTCCCAGCGTTGTTCTCAATCTCAAATGTGTAAACTTTCTACCTGTCTTTAGAGGTACCATGATATAGCTGAAGTTACATCTTTTGCCAAAACTTGGTCCCCCTGGGTGTTATATTATTGGTAGATCGGTCGTAATAAGAAATGGTACATCCCTACATCAGTTGAACTATGAACCCAAGAGTAGGTCGGAGGGAGTTGACGTGACTACACGTGTTTGGGCGAAGGCACGAGGCCGGAAGTGTGAGGAACATTGCGCAATAATAATAATGACCCTTTTCCTTTTGCTTAATCTTTTACAGGGTCTTTTCCAGTCTGAAAGTTCTACAAGGCTTGAGAAGTAATCTCCCAACAGATCCTAGGGTGGCCATAGACAGAATTTTAGACTAGGAAAGACGCTGTTGTTGAGGTTCGGTCACGAAGACGGAAGTGTGACCAACATTGCACAATAATAATAAAAATGACCCTTTTTCTTTTTTATACTCCAACATGTAATCACAAGACGTGGTGACGGCACACTTAAGTTTTATCAACTTATACATGTATTAATGCCGCCACCAACACAGGGGACAGTACAATACTCATTTTCACCTGAGCGAAGTGAGGAAAGTTGTGTAACGTGCCTTTCCCAAGGGCACAAGATCGGTGGCATGTCAGGACTCGAACCCGGGACCTCTTGGTCCATTCCTTTTACAGCGTCGTCCCCAGTCTAGAAATTCTACTCGGCCTAAGAAGTAATCTCCAACAGATCCTAGGGTGGTCAAAGACAGTATCAAATTGGCCAGGCAGTATCCATTCACCAAAGAGGGTAACCTTGGGTGGCGTATGGACCCTCTCTGGCGAATGGATACTGCCTGGCCAATTTGATACTGTCCATGGCCACCCCAGGATCTGCTTAGAGATTACCTATAAGACGCTCAATGTCTCTAAAAGACACCAACCACCGAAAAGGATCTGAGACAGCTTTTTCCGCAACAAGAAGGGTGACACATGCACAAATGTCGCAAGAATGTCCTCAGTTTGCGACCGCACGACGTTTGCGACTGGGCCTTAAAAATGACATCCCTCGCTTGGGTAATAAGGATTCAAGCTGTGTATGATACAACTTTAATACAGAAGTTGATTTCACCTGAAAAAAACTGGCCAGTAAACTACATTTGCACCTTTACGCTGTGGAAAATTTACGAAGAACGCAAAAACGTATCGCCATGTTTTTCGGCAGGTGATTACAATAGGTTCGGACTTTGCCAGGTCAATGACCTCTGGTCGATAAGGTGTAGGGCGTCCAGACAGGGCTACTTGCCCTTACTCTCCAAGCAGAGGTGATGCGTGTTTTTGGGCGTTTTCCAAAGGCACGATAAGTCTAGAATGTGTGGGTTGATTGTCTTCAGTTGATATTTAGTATGTGGGTAGGTGTTGGCGAAGGTAACGTCAAGTTTGACTATTGGCTCCCAAGCATCTTGTTATGGTGCTGCAACATTTTGTCGGGCCATATGTGATGCGTGTTTTTGTACATTTTCCAAAGGCACGATAACTCTAGAATGTGTGGGTGGATTGTCTTGATATTTAGTAGGTGGGTAGGTGTTGGCGAAGGCAAGGTCAAGTTTGAATATTGGCCCCCAAGCATCTTGTTATGGTACTGTAACATTTTATCTGACCATGATCCTCATCCAAAAAAGCCAACAAAATAGAAATAACGAAACACAATACACAAGAAAAGCAATCATTGGTGAAGCTGTATCTTAGAACATTTCGTTAATATTCAAAACATGCCTGTGTCAAAAAGCGAAGGCATCCAAATAGAGGTACAGATACCGTTGATTATACTTATACTTTTATAGATATTGTCGACATATACATGTAATTCTATTGAAAGGAGAACGTCGTCGTACAGATTTGTGTATTGTGGTGATAAAGATTGATACTATTCGGAAATAGTTTTAACTAGTTGTAAATCAAATAAAATCCAACCTGTACAAGTGACTACCTCTACACAAGGCCTACCTGGCCATCTGACCCCTTGGATATTTCTTTCTTTCAAATGCAACAGTACATTATACTGACTTACAGGCAGCTATACTGGTGTTCACAAGTCAACAATTATATAGACAATTGCCCCTTTGATAATCTTCCCCATTGATACAGTCCTGTCTATAACGACCACCTGCCTATATAGACCAGATTTTATCGGTTCTCTGGTTGGTCTTCTTGGACAGTTTTTACTGTAAACCATTGTACGGTTTATCAGTTCTCTTGGTGGTCGTCTTGGGCAGTTTTGACTGTATATCAATATGCACCAATACCAGTACCTTAATCATTAATGCTGGCATAGCTTCGACGCTTTCTTTCGCTCAGAATCACGTAAGCAAAAACCCCACCAAGCACCACCACGCCAGCAATGACACCGATCACTATGGCCGCTGTGTTGAGGCTTGTCTTGTTTCCCGTGTCCTGAGAACATATCTGAGCCGTAGAAAACTGTCCTGACTTCACCCCAAACGGTTGGACCTGAACTTGACTTGTAACGACGGACACATCTTTGGCAACGGTGACGTTCACGTCTGATTCACACATGTAAGACTTGTCGGTGGCGGCAGAGAAGACGTTCAGCGTGTTGTTGGAGACTTGTCTGCTGGTGTTTGGGTTCTTAGTGCCGGGGAAGATGGCAGGCAGCTCGGTGTAGGAGATCTTGATGGCGGACGCGTGGAAGCGACCGACGCCGCCCCCTTTTCCTGTTTTGACGAAGTCGAACGTCACGCTAAAGGTGTCACCGTGAAACGTTAGCGTTAAACTGGAGTTGTCCGTACCACAGGACCCCGTAGCGTTGGCGGTTTGCGGTAGGTTGAAGACAGCGTAGTCGACTCTGTCGTCAGTTGTTGTGTAGAGGATCTTGAACTGTAGGCCCATGTCGGCTATTAGACAAACGGCACCCGTGGTTTTGTCTCTCACTTTGAAGTGGCCTTCTGAAGGTGACGAACCGGCATTCTCTCGGCTAGACGTTGCTCCAATGAAGACAGCAATCACGAAGAACACGGTTGTAGTCATCAGCCACGTCATTTTGAGCATCGGTAACGACAGACCAATGCTGCACTGTAGGTCGCTTTGAACTAGTTAACAGACACTGAACTAAGGCCAACCTAGGCCGGGGGCCACGGAGTTATGTTTGCCTGTAGAATGGACCATGAACTTTGAGCAGATTTGCTGGCAAAAACATGTTCGTCTCGCCTCCACCTTTGCAGCTTTACCTTTCATCGTCGGGTTGCCTGGTGTTGGGCAAATATGTACTGTTTACATTATCGCTGAAGATGACCTTACCAGCGGCCTACGTGCCCTTGTAAGGGCCATACTTGTTTGTTTGTTTGTTTACTTGCACAAATAAGAAAACAATACAGGTTGGTGAATGATAGAAAACAAAGTTCTTTATTCACTACCACTTATTATGAGCCGACGTTTCTATGACGTTTTGGTTTGTCAACTACTGACCTCACAACTGTCTATACCTCTTACGTTCGACCAGCCCTTGAGTACGCGGCACCAGTATGGCACTCGTCTCTGACTGTACAACAAACCACAAGCCTGGAGCGTGTCCAAAAGAGGGCCTGTAAGATCATTCTTGGCCCTCTCTACAACAACTATGACTCGGCAATGGAGACCTTGAAACTAACAACATTATCAGATCGACGAGTCCACATCTGCAGAGCGTTTGCGAGTTCCTTGCTGAACCCAGAGTTCCGGGACTGGCTCCCCCCAACCAGACTGTCTGTGACGGGAAGACAAACTCGTAACTCGCACAAACTGGACACCCCGTACTGTCGCACCACTCGGTATAGAAACTCACCGATCCCCTACATGTGCCATCTGCTGAACAATTGACGGACACTAATTATTCCTACCTTAGCGTCCTCACTTATCACCATGAACTTTAGAAACAATTGTTAACAGACCATCCAGTTATTAGGAATATTTGAAATATTTGTATCACATGGGCCTACCTTTTAATCGTTCTTCTGCTCGTAATTTTTAACTGTTGTGGTGTGGTTGTAGTATGTGTAATTATTGTGGTCTATGTAGTCTTTCTAATGATACTATATTTTAACTTCCTAATGACTTTGTATTTTAACTTCCTAATGACTCTGAATTTTTAACTTAATTAATATGCAATACTATAAACTCTCGATTTTAAAATAATGAAATGTACATTGATTTGCAATTCAGTGACTTGTATCAAGTTTACTGCCATTGATCAATAAACAATTCTTGAGTCTTGAGTCTTGAGTCTATGACCGTCTGAAGCCTATACGTGCCCCTTTAGGGTCTTTGTTTGTTTGTTTGTTTGTTTGTTTATTCACACAAATACGACAACACATACTCGTAAATAATTTTAACAAGTTGGTGAATGATTGAACAAAGTTCTTAATTCACTACCACTTATTATGAGCCGACGTTTCTACGACCGTCTGAAGCCTACGTGCCCTTGTGAGGGTCATGTTTGTTTGTTTGTTTACTTGCAGAAATAAGAAAACATATACTCGTAAATAATTTCAACAGGTAGATGAATGATTGAATAGCAAAGTCTTTTATTCACAACCACTTGTTCAACAAGAGACCACGTTTCTATGACCACTTGAAGCTTTCTTGTCAGTTTTTAAATTAAAGACGTCGACTGTAGTCCTGCTTTGTACAGAAAATAGCACAACGGACCTCACAATCTTGTCAACAAGTTCAAAATAAGCACATAAGTTTGAGACTAATATACACCTCGCTCGATAACACTGATTATGTCGTTATCTTGCACAATGTTAATATTGATTGTTTTGCCTAAGATTAAAATGCACTTTAGACCCAAATGCACAGACTGCATCGACCATCTGAGAATGCATAAAGTACATGTCTGATTAATCTCTAATACAAACATCAAATACATGATATCAGGCTGCTTAGAATTAAAAATGTTACAGACATTACATGTGGATCTAACATATTCTACTGCTGGGCAATGTCAGTCTTGTAGCATCCCTACACAGTTACTTCTAACCCTCAAACTAGATGCAAATTATTCTGATTACAAGTTGGTACAGTGCAGAAAATAATGAAAAAATACTCTCAAATGGATTGTGTTTAGCCTACTCCAAACAGTTGCTTACATCTAAGAATTAAGTAGTTGCTAACTAAAGATTTAAGACTTAAGTGTGACAAGATTTCTACATCATGGAAGCAGCGCCATCTTGAACAGCCAAAAAAAACAATAACAACTAGTCATGGACGATAAGACAACTTGTACAAGTTGTCGCAAAGCCTAATTCACGATTGTAAACTTTTGGGACGCACCTTCCTTTTGCATTTCTAACCCTAAAATTAAATACAAACTATTCTGATTATGTTTTGGTACTATGTAAAAATACTGGACAAACTCTCAAATGGATCATGTTCAAACTACTCCAAAAAGTAGCAAGAATAACAACTCATGTACAAGTTGTCGCAAAGACTAATTCACAATTGTAAACTTTTGTGGGCGCGCCTTCGACCTCTTCACGACAATATACGCGACGAAGACGACGACGACAATCACTCCGACAATCACACCAATGATGACAGGGACAGTGTTGCTACCTGTGGTGTCCTGCGAACATTCTTCAGCGGAAGAAAACTTTCCAGACTTGACTCCAAACGGTTGGAGCTGAACTTGACTGGCCATGATGGTCACATCTTTGGAAACGGTGATGTTCACTTCGGACTTACACATGTAAGACTTGTCGGAGGCTGCGGAGAACATGTTCAGCGTGTTGTTGGAGACATGTTTACGGGCGTCAGGGCTACTAGTCCCGGGGAACATTGAAGGAAGCTCGGTGTACATGACCTCGATGCTAGACATGTTAAAGCGACTGGCGCTGTCCCCTGTAACTTTCTTGTCCGTGACGAAGCCGAATGTTACGCTGAAGAGGCCATCGTGGAACGTTAGAGTCAAACTGGAGTTGTCGGAACTGCAGAAACCTGTAGCGTGGGCGGTTTTGGGTAAGTCGAATAGTCCGATGTGCTTTTTCTTGTCGGCCTTTGTGTAAGAGACACTGAACTGTAGACTCATGTTGGCTAGCAGACAGACGTGACCTTTTGTGTCCTTGACCTCGAAGTGACCTTGAGGTGGTTCCTTTGGCGGTGTGGTGGGCTTGGGAGTCTTCATGGGAGTGGTCATTATGGTCGCATTGCCAATAGGTAAGAATGTGGCCGCCGTGGTGTTGGGGGCAAGAACTGTGGTCGCGTTGCCGATTGGCGACATGGTTGCCGTCGTGGTGTTAACAGGGGGAACGGTTGTCGCGTTATGTATGGGCATCATTGTGGTTGTAAACGGTAGGTCTTGGGCGCACTCGGAAACCTCGCTAAAGTTTCTGCCCTTGACAGCGAAGGGTTGGACCTGCAGGTCCACGACTTCGAGTTTGACCGTGCTGCCAACGTCGAAGTACTGCAGTGACTTGCACAGGTACGATTTGCCGAGGTCCGTCTCAAAAAGGGACGCGTCTTGCTCGACTTCCTTCACGGCTCTGCCCGGCATGGACGCGTTCGGGAAGAGATCTGGCGTCCGGACGTACCCGACCGACGCGCCGACTAGTTCGAAGCTCTTGTTCCCCGTCGTCTTGAAGGTCGCGGTCAAGTTGAACCCCTTGGAAAAGGAGAGAGCGATGGTTGCCTTAGACTCGTCGCAGCCGCCTCCGACAGTGCTGTCCTGCGGGAGAACGTAGGTGGCGTTGCGGGTGATGTTTTGTTTCGCGTCGTCGTACTCGACACGGAACATCACGCCAACGGTGAGCAGAATACATAGGTTCCCCTTGGTGTCATTGAGAGCAAAGTGTCCGACAGGGATTACTGGCGTAGGGGTAGGAGTGGGGGTGGGCTGGGGGGTGGTAACGTTCGGGCCTGGGGTAGTCGTGATGTCTTCCGGGCAAGTTTCGGGACGAGAGAACTTTCCACTACTGGGTACGTAGAAGGGCTGAACTTGAACATGGTGGATGGACAGAGTGGACTTGGGTGCGTTTAGGCTAGGGATGTCGAAGTCTATGCTCTGGGTTTTGTCACACAGGTACGAGTGGGGCTCGAAGGCGTTCGAATGCGTGTAGAAGAACTGTTTTCCCGACATTTTGGCCTTCCCCGATACGGTGGCGTTTGCGTTCTTCGCGTCGGGGAACAATTCAGGTACAAGCGTGTACTTCATCGTGGCCTCCGATAGCGAGAAGTGGGTGAAGATAATGTTCCTTTCAAACGTGAGATTCAAACCAAACACTCCTTCCGTCCCGTTGTTGAGATTGAACTTGAGGTTGAGATGCGAGTGCGTCTCGTCGGTAAGGTGACTACAGTCGCCACTGACCACGCTGGTTGTGGGTAGAGGAAAAGACACCATCCCGCGAGTGTTGTTGTGCGCTTTGATGTACCCCACGTGAAACATGGCGGATATATCCAGAAGCAGGCAAGGTTCGGGCTTTCCGATCAGCGGCTTCTTGTTCACCACGAAGTGGCCTACAGGAGGAGAGAGGTCGTCTGCCGCGTAACCAACAGTCGCCCTAACAGACGCCACACACAGTAAGACCAGGAGTATTGGAAGGATCGCCATCTTTGGACAGTTCGAGAAGAAGTGAAGACGTATTTTTTCGCGTGGCTCTCACAAAAGGAGGGGTCTGCGGGGGCGTTATCGATTTTCCTGTTGACTCAAAGTTTCGGGGGGCAGGTCGACAAAAGTTGACTGTTCTGGCGAGCAGCAAAACAAGTGTTTTACTCTCAAAAATTCCTTAGCTCTAAGCTGTCATTGAGAGCACAAAGACCCACCAAGCTAGTGCTATTTCAGAAAGGCAATCAAGAAGAGACTTTTAGCAGAAGGTGTCTGGCAATTAACGACTATATTTCCATCCCTACCTACCTTTCTGATAATGGTTAAGCCTTAACAAATGTCCCATCCGAGGACAACGACCTTTGGACATTAAGTCATAGTCTCACGTGGTGCGTCTGGGCCTCACCTTTGCTGTGTACACATACTGTTAGTCTCTACCAGACTAACTACGCTGGCTATATATATAGGAGAATATTTGCCAGGGGAGTTTGGCCGCCTTGTAGGTTTGACTGGGCCGCGCAGTTCGGAGGGAAAGAAACTACCTCCCGCGGCCGGACTCCCTTGGCCAATTTTACTCTCTTTTTTGCCGAATTCTACGATCCGTATTCCCGTAGAAAGGCCTGGTGGAGGCTAACATACTGTATACATACATGATCACGGGTTCGAATGGCGGTTGGCCAACTTCGGAAGTTGTTTATCAAATTGTAACAGTTATGTTCCGGCCACTTTTACGCTATATGTACAGTGGATCGCAGGGAGAGAATTTTACGCGCGTGTGTGTCTCTCTCTCTCTCTGTATGTGTGTGCGTGTGTGTTCGTGTGTATGTGCTTGCTCGACTCTTCATTTCAAAGCTGGAATAATAACCCTAACCACAAGGCCTCTTTACCACCTATAAAAACTATCAGAAAAAAATCTACGGTACTATAACTTAGACGCAAATATGCACATGTTGGCACATTGGCAACACCAAATCTGCCTGTGTCCTCATCAGTGTTTGGACACAGAATCAACGATTAGCCGAAAGGCACAGTGGGCGTCACTTTACCATACAGTGAGGAAAGTCTTGTAAAGTGCCTTTCCCAAGGGCACTGCAGCGGGCATGTCAGGGAATCGAACCCGGGACCTCTTGGTTCTGAGCCGAACCATTACGCACCACCTTGCCACGTACATCTAAAACTGTCAGAAAACCTGCCACGAATGTTTCGGAACTCGCTCTTGTTTAGTTAACTGAGCCTAGAGATCCCCCCAATACATGTATGCTCATCTGATGCTCGCAAACTGCCTCTCTGCGTGACGTCATGTTACCATGGTAACTAATTCCCGCCCGATTCTCGGGATTAACCCAGAATCTCTGTTTTACCGCCAGAAAAGTGGACTGTGTTTTCTCAGAGTCGTATACAAAAAAAATCACACGCAATCAAAAGAAACACGCCGAATTACACACACGTCTGTAGAAACAGTTCCACCATCAATCTAGAATGTTGATGCAACGTAACGAATTGGTTGTAACAAGATCTATGTGTGTACTTTTGTGGAAGGTTGGTAAGAGCTAGTCTCTACCAGACTAACTACGCTGGCTATATATAGGAGAATATTTACCAGGGGAGTTTGGCCGCCTTGTAGGTTTGATAGGCTTCGGAGGGAATGAAACTACCTCCCCGCGGCCGGACTCCCCTGGCCAATTTTACTCTCTTTTTTGCCGAATTTTGCGATCCGTATTCCCGTAGAAAGGCCTGGTGGAGGCTAGGTAAAAGGCCAGCGATCCTTTGTAGGTATTCGTGTATTTAGACACACCTGCACAGCTGACCCAAGATTGTCCACAGTTTATGATCGTGAGACGGTCGTGCGATGATCGTAGGAAGATCGTAGGACGATCGCACGACAGATGTGACCAGGCGCTGACTATTGACTTATTGATTATTACTACATATCGGCCTGACCCCGTTTCTACTTCAGCGATCAATACATTACCTGACGTCATGGTCACGTGACGCCGCCTGACCTAGCGTACCGGTGCCCTGATTGTTCCTAAATTACTCCTTTCCAAAATGTTTTGTAATAGTCTATACCCCATGCAGACAAAAAGAAGATCAAATTATCAATAAGAAGAAAACCATAATGCAAAGAGAGGATCGATGATTATTTCATTACGTTCCCGATATTCACCATTTAAAAGTATATCACGAGGCAGCTTCATTCCGCGTAAGGCCACACCGACTTAATTTTATGGATGACATCCTCTGAAGACCCCCAAACTAGTGCGCGCGGGTGAATAAAAAAAATTCCGGCCAAAAATAAAAATGCTACTAAACCATAGGAATACAAAGCTGGTATTGTGTATCTGAGGCAGTACATAGCGACGTATACGATAAGCCGGCACATGAGGGATATTTGCGGAATTTATGAATAGGCACTGTACGTATGTACTGAGATCTTGAGTCGTGGAGCTTCGGTAGCCTGGTGCCATCCTCCAGAGTTACCACCGGCTCCCTATTGTCGCTAACTGCCATGGACTACCCAGGCCTAGAGCCAGGCCAGAGACTCGGAGGACGATCCTTTTTTTTTTTGAGAACAGGCGAAAATCAATGCGCGCGCGGATGTCATCCATAACATTACGTCGGTGTGGCCTTAGTAGGTTGTCACTTTGGTTCTTCCGACTCACATTACGCTAGGTTTTACTGTTATGACTTCGGAGATAAGATATTGACTGAGAAACACAGAACACATTTCTGTAGATCGTTTCCCAGTAGTCTCTATCGTCACATCGCTACATTTGTTGCCACATTTGTTGCGCTTGTGGCGACCAATTTCCGACACACATTACTGAAGATATATCCTAGCCTCAGCTTCAGAGACCCCAAGATAATAGCTATAGATAAAAACCAAGTGAATATTCGGGATACAAATTGAATGAGGGACCATCCACTAGTGTGGTGGCTGGGTTTGGTCTGAGATGATACACTATTAGAAAGAAGTTTTTCCACCTTTACAAAAGACTTAGAGCAATGTACCTTTTCTTATGGAAAACGATCATGTAACATATGTATATCTATTCAAAGCGACTTTCTAAAAGCCTTGTCTACATTCATCCAGTATCCTGTAAACTATACAATGGTAAATCCCTTCCGTACTTAACGTACAGTCCAATACGACGTCTTATTGATTCTAGATACGAGGGGAGGTCCATTTCTATGACAGGGGGTTCTTGATAACAAGAAGCTGCTGTGTTAAAACCGGGACAACGATACTCTTCTTCATTTCTTCACAAAACAGTGTGCATCTAAACATACAATCCATTCAGGCTTGCTACGGTACATGGTATAGAACATAATAGTTACAGGTATCCTAGAAGAATTAAGGTGCGACCCCCGGTGCCATGCAGTGGTAGCTGTACTGCCGAAAGAGGCCGGCCTCGCAGTGCGGTACCGGTACCATGGATCAGTAAACCACGGCTGCCAGGACACAGGTATGAGATAGCAGGTACGTGAACACCTTTTCTCAGGTTTGTGCATTTACTTAACTTACATCACTACGGTGCTACTTGTTGGTTTAGATGACGGTATAGTCTCTACCAATGCGGATTCAATTCAAGAGCAGTCAAATTTAGCTAAGTAGGGAGAATAATTGGCCATGGGAATTTGGCTGCCGCAACCACGGACTGATTCTCCTGGACAATCATTCTTCCCTTTTTTCTATACGGAATTCTACGGTCCGTACCCCCGTAGAAAAGCCAGCTAAAGGCTAGATAACGTCTGAATTTTCCAAAGATGTTGCAATATTTAGTGATGTAGGTTTTATGATGGAAACTAGAAGAACGGATTCAGTATTGGTAAAAGGGGCGGGGCGATTTTTCTCCATCTAGCGTGACATAGAAGAAAGCAAGAAACGCATATATATTAATCTTTCTCTGAGTTCTATTCAATTTGCTCTATGCAAAATGCTTCTTGTAGCACGAAAACTGATTCTTATGCCATGTGCTTGGATAGAATTCTGCGAGGTATCTCGAGGTACATACGTGGATTTAGGTCAATTTTGTTTCGGCTATCCAAGCTTTCTCCCTAGTTGTATACATGCATACGGCTGAATATTTAGTGTAGAAGTAGAAGTAGAATTCAGACAGGTCTGCTGAAGCCCTGAATTGCATCTCAGTGAAGTGTGGTTTCTTAAGATTTGAGACATCGTGCAATCTTGGGTGAAGGAAATGTGCTCGCCAAATATTTCAGCAATGCCCGTGCCTTAGTTTCTGTGTATCATTGTTTTACTCCCACTTTCAAATTACGACTACATAAAAGCTGTCCCTGTGCCAGTCAGTTGTGCATGTACTAAAATATAACAGATTATAACAGATAATGTTCTATTGCATGGATAGAAATTTGTGAGTTGCTAAAAGTCTAAATAACAGATTATATTCTACACATTTGCTAGAAAATTTCGAATGCCGCGAATTCTAAATAACGAATAACACTTACTGAGAAAAGTCCCCTTTTCCTAAGGGTGTGGAAAGTGAAGTATAAAATATATTTTAAATTCTTCCTTCAGAACTTAATCATACCTAATATATTGCCACGGATTTTAAAGTCTATTACTGTTCGCTTTTCAAATCCCTGTGCAAAGTTATTGTGTAATGCAAGAGATTTAATGTCCAACGGGGGCCATTCCCAATTTTAAATTATTGATCGCTCTGTCTTTTCTCTCAGTCAATAGAATAAGTGTTAATGGCAAAATAATGTGGGCGTTAAATATACCAATTGTCACATTTTGCACAGAGACGTTGAGCAAGAAAATAATTTGCAAAAGAAGTAGAATATTAGCCTAAAAATATAGGAAATTGGTGAAATTTGAAACACAGACTACTATATTAATGCGGCATGGTAGGCCAGAGGCACTGGTAGGGTTATATGTGTATGTTCGTACCTGTTACGGGTTTACCGATAAAACCAGTAGTAATACCGGGCCTGGCATTACGACGTGTCGGCAGAAATACCTCAAAATCGTTTCATTGTGCAAATAATGGCCACAGATGACTATTGTGGCTTTTTTGCCATCATTCTAGCCATTTATGCCGGCTAGGTTACTGAAATTTCTTATCAGGAGATATCAAGAGTGGATTTTTCTGGGTGAGAAAGCCATCTGCCTGTGAAATTAAGCTGGTGTGCTACGCCGAAGGGCCGTTATACCGGCTATACTGATACAGAAATTAATGTTTCGAAAATATGGGTGTTAAAATGATTGTATAAAATATAATAGCAGAGTGTCCTCATGTCACCCTCTTTAAAATGTAAGTCTGGGGCAACCGTTATGACTTCTGACGCAACTCCCGACGCCGTCCGGCACGTGTATCGACCCGTGTGCTCCCTAAGGACCGGTTTGTATCGGACATGTGGAGATTCATCGACTCACCGTCATGACAACCGTCTAGTCCTACTGCCATGCCGGTATACTAGCTAGTAGTAACATCCCCTTTACACTAGAGCGTACGACCTCTAAGCGGCCAAAGATTTAACAGATCGTTCAGCAAATTTCAGGGATAAAAGAACATGTTCTTAAACTTTAAAAGGATCTGGTTGTGCTGCAGGGTTAGTGTAAATGACCACAGGTGACCCCAAATGGAAACACGCGTTCTGTTCGAATTTACCCAGATCGAACGTGATTCGATCGAACGTAGTTAGGGTTCTAAAACAGGTGGCAGCCCGGATTTGACCAATGGGGAGGGTCAAATCGACTGAACATCTATTGATGCTGCCTTCATTGGCCTTGCGGTTACTATGGAAACCTTGCTCGTTACCATGGATACTCTTCAGTTTACTGTTACCATGGAAACTCCTGTCATAGAGAAACATAGAGACCAGGAGATTGACGTGTCGGCTCAGAACGGTTATTTATTTCAGTAGCAACAGTTCTCAGTGGAAATGCTTTCAAAACGATTACATCTATAAGACTATAAAAAGCCTGGTATGCCAGCTTTTGGCAAGGGATTTAGAGGATGATACTGTAGACAGTAGTAAAAAATGCTGGATGGAATAGTTCAGTTTTTTTCTTGGTTCAAACATTTCTGTGTTTAAATAGTCGATAAAAATCAGATATGAAGATAATGAGATGCGCAAGTAAACAGTTATTCATTGACAAGCAACTGCTTAAATTTTACTTAATATATCTAGATTCTTGCATAACAGTTTCATTGTGTGATTTGAATCCTTCGTGACTAACTTGGTCGTCAAACGTCGCGGTGCATTTCCTTTTTTTTACTTCTTAAAATATTCATGATAACGGTGAGCGAAAATTATCGATTTTTATCCCGCCTTCACGAATGAATCGCTGAGAGAAAACGTTCATCTGTCGGCCCGAGTGAAGTGAAACGTTCCCACTCCGCCCCTGGCAGGAGACATATGTCAGTTCGAATCCCATTTACTCCGCGAGGTTTCGCTAAGCGCAGCAATTTTAACTCGGCTTCGGGTGACTTGGGGCAAAACTCCATTAAGTACACTTCGCTTTGCCGGTGTGTTACGTCGAAGGAGCAACCATAGATTTGATAGATCGCCCAACAAATTTTATTTCGAATTTCAGAACGTATGTTTTTTTTACGTTGTGTGTTTTGTGTGTCTATCTGTGCTGTGCTAATCTTAAGTGCCAAAATTCACTATGAAATCGCAGAAAGTTTCACTCGGCTTCGGATGAGTTGGGGCAAAACTACATTAAATCCACGTCGCTTTGCCAGTGTGTTACGCCGAAGGATTTGATAGATCGCCCAACAAATTTATTTCTAATTTCAGAGCGGACTTTTTTACGTTGTGTATGTTGTGTTGCTTCTTAATAAGGTGAGCTATTGGTGCAAAAATGTTACATAATGCCTCTTTAATGGTTAATGGAACATCAAGTACTAGTACCTGTAAGTAAGACCGTAAGTGAACCCAGGTAGTCCTTTAAAGGCATCCAATGCGATTTCAGGGCAGCAAAACTGGAAATCTTCTGAACAAGGCAAGTTTTGGGATATTGACACATACTCCTTCACATTAGAACATTTGAGTCAGTATTTCATACTTTGGGCTTTTAATAGGCAGAAACAAGCCCCAGGACCTTTATTTTCTGGGTGGTACCCTAAAAATCAGCCTTTCCAGTAACCAAATCCGTCAGAATTTTGGAAATATTTGCTCCATGAGGGTCAATAAACGTTGGGACAGTGTGGTTTCAACTCAATATGTAGATGAATGGCTAGAATATTGGCTTTGAAAAATCGGGTTTCCAAACCCTAAAAACTGCACTGGATGCCTTTAAGTAACTTTTACCGCACAAGATTGAGTGTTTGGTGCTAACAGGTTCGTACCAGTGACATGTGGCCTACCCTGGGTGCAGTAATTCAATATGCAATCCCCAGGCCCGCATATAAAGCTGTGATCAGAATTATTCCAACTCCAGTATATTGTTTTATCGGGTTTGGGTACCGATATGGGACGAGGTTTTTATAGATTTTTCCGTAAATAGCGCGGAGACATTAATTATGTAAGACCTGCACGTGCGTATTGAACTGTAGCGATGCCACTGTGGATTATAGCATATGTTTTATATATTAAATCATAGCCCATGATATCGCTATTTCTATGGGCTTCTCGGAGGTTCGTCGGTTTAGCAAGATACTTGAAAATCAAATGAAAGCAAGCTGTAACATGTATACATATCCTTATACGTTCCCAACATTGAGCTATACATACATTGGTTGTATTTACGTTATGTTGAACGTTGCTATACTAGTAATATGTAATATGTAGGTATCTAATATGTGGTCACATAATCAGCTAGTAGCTGCGTAGTACCTACATTGTAATCTTTTGCTGCAATCTCATTAAAGAAAGAAAAATTGAGCTAGCCTTTTTTCTGACGCGTGCGTCCCACAAAACCCACTGACCCAGTCTGTTAATCGAATTAGAATCTTGGTCGATAGAGTTGTGGGTGTTTCGAACCATTATTAAACAGGAGATGGGGCCAGAGGTAGAGCATTATCGAACGTAAAAGCGAATATGTGAGGGTTACTCACATAAAATGCAACGTTGAACCGGTGGAAATGTGGTTTTGACACTAAACTAGCATTTGATGTGTTAGGATTGTTTACAGTGACTTGAGTACGACTAATAAAACAGGCTTCATATTTATAATGACTCCTCTGTTACCCCTGTATCTGAATTGTAACCGTTCTTCTTTCACATTGTTTATTGTCCAGCTATAAGGGTTAGCCCTTTATAATAGCCTCAGGCTCCTGCTAGTTGGGCAGTCCAGTCCTGTCCTTTCTCTTTATACGGTTTAATAAATCAGATCAATACGTTATGTTGCGAGGTGCACAAGGCACGGAAGATTGTCCATTGATGCACTGTGCGTTTAGCACCAAGGACAGGCACCATCCATTGATATATCGTATGGAAGTGAATATGCGCTACCTCGGAATAGAGCAAAATGATTGTACGGTGTTAGGCTTCTTACCTAAAAAGTACAGCTTCAATCTATCAATGGTTTAGTCGTTTGGTTGGTTAGGTAATTAATGAATTAATTGATTAACTTATTACAGGAACAATCTATGAAGTACAGAGAAATGGTATGGTAGCTATTGGTTGGTTACGTTGAGACACTCCGGTCCTACCCATTGTGTTAACGCGTGGCCCACTTATCTGTGTGTTTGAATTATTCTTTATTATTTATTTATAATCTTTATTATTCATGAGAAGCTCAAAACAGTCTGCAGACTGCTTTTCATTGAGGTCACGAGGGAAAAGGAAAATATACAAAACATTGCCTTGAAAGATAATTATCTAACTTTTACCAAGTCACGGTGTATGTTGGCTTTGGTCATTTTTTGGCGACCACCGTCGCCATGGCAATATATGTTTTCACTGCCAGTCTTGTATCTTGTTGCTTCTCTCTAGGTAGATGCTAAGGACCCCTCCCAGCGTTGACGGCGGCAGATACAGGACTCTAACAGGACAGGCGAGATGACATCTCTGGGCAGGGCTTCAGTCATGGTTGTTGGCGCCGTGTTGATTCTGCTCGCTATTGTGGTCGTACCAGGTAACGTATACGTTAGGGCATGATTACTTACGTCGTGCGATCTTCGTACGATCACCATACGATCGTCATACGATCACCGTACGATCTTCATACGATCACAGTACGATCGTCATACGATCACCGTACGATTGTCGTAAGATCCCCATACGATCTTCATACGATCCCCATACGATCCTCATACGATCACCGTACGATCTTCATACGATCCCCATACGATCGTCATACGATCACCATACGATCATCATACGACCACCGTACGATCTTCATACGATCACCGTACAATCGTCGCAAACTGAGGGCATTGAATTGGGAATAAAACGCCCGAAAACACGCGTCCGTCAAAACTACAACAAAACTACAACGAAGCCCAAACCTCTGCTTGGAGAGTAGCAGGAAGTCTGACATCTTTTGTTTTTCTCCACAGGCGAGGCTGTAAAGTGCTACACGTGTGTTGGGCTGGGCGGTCCGGAGATTAAACACTCCACGCCCTGCCACTATAACTACGCGCTCCTGGGCATGCAGGACTGCCCGGACGGATATAACTTCTGTTACATCCTGCAGAGCACACCCAGCGACTCTAGTAAGTACTGTACTTACAACCGTCTATTCTTGGATTCAGATCGAAATGCTCAACAGCAGCCCATGTGTGTGTGTGTAGGGGGCTGTGTTTGGGTACGTGTGTGGCTGTCTGTCTCTCTCTCTCTCTCTCTCTCTCTCTCTCTGTGTAAGAGAGAGAGTGAGTGTGTGAGTGTATGTGTGTGTCTGTGTGTGAGTGTGTATGTGTGTGTGATTGTGTGTGCATGACTTTGGTTTTCTTTCTCTCTCTCTCTCTCTCTCTCTCTCTCTCTGTGTGTGTGTGTATCTATCTGTGTGTGAGTGTGTCTGTGTGCGAGTGTGTCTGTGTGTGTATGTGAATGTGCGTGTGTATGGCTTTGTTTTTCTTTCCTGTCTGTGTGTTTGTGTGTGTTTCCGCATTTTTTAAAGTCTATCTCGTCCCTCCCCGCACACACCTAGGCATCCCCCACGCCGTTGATCGAGGCTGTGCGAAGGAGGCCAAGTCGTCGTATTGCGTCAACAAAGATTCCGCCCGTCACTGCTACTCCTGGTGCTTCGGGGACGGCTGTAACACCGCAACGGGAATCAAACCCGCGACTCTTAGTACCACCATAGGCTTCATTGTAGCCGTGATCTGTGTGTGGATACGAGCGTAACTTGTGTGTTGGTACGAACGTAACCCTAACCTCTATAGGACTTTCTTATGGCTGTATGCTAGCCTCCACCAGGCCTTCTTAACGCCTCATGAACACTAGTAGTAGCACATAGCCTCCACCAGGCCTTCCTAACGGCTCATGAATAGTAGCATCCACTAGGCCTTCTTAAGGGGCAATGGATAGTAGCATAAGGGGTTTTGGATAGTAGCACATAGCCTCCACCAGGCCTTCCTAAGGGGTTATGGATAGTAGCACATAGCCTTCACCAGGCCTTCCTAAGGGGTTATGGATAGTAGCACATAGCTCTACCAGGCCTTCCTAAGGGGTTATGAATATTAGCCTCCACTAGGCCTTCGTTAAGGGGAAATGGATAGTAACACATAAAGTTGATAGAGATCTCTAGTATGGGCCTTTTATTGGGTATATCAAAAAATGCACATATGTGTATAATCATTATGATAGTAAATTGTATAGACTACTATTAGGCATGAGATACTAGTAGTGTAGTGTAATGAGAGTTAGTCATAGTGAATCAATCAATCAATCAATCAATCAATCAATCAATACATCAATCAATCAATCAATCAATCAATAGAACAATTAATAGAGCAATCAATGAAGTAAAACCTAGCAGACACACCCGTAGAACCGAACCAAAACCTCACATGTATGTAGGAATAAATGCAATTAAATATGGAACTACGGCAGGAATAACGATACAAAATGTATAGAAATGCTCGCGATATCAGTAGTGATAACTGCTTAGAAAGAGTACTGGTGATAAATAGATTATACATAGACAGTCAGTGGGATACGTGCAATTGTACTGTATAGTTTAAACTTCACCAGTTTTTGTGCTACTATTTGTAGTTGTCAAATACTGGCAGAGTGTTAACTGCTAATTAAAAATGTCTTAAATGCTACGTGTGCCCTACATGGATAAAAATATAAATACCATTGTCTCAAACATCCTCGAACAATGTATATCAATTCATAACAAATGTTTACAAAAGTGCCTCCTGGCGACTAGTAGTAATACAACAGGGCACTGCTTTGACAGTAACTTTTCGGTTGTGTAAGAATACCTTTAGTTTGTTAATTGTTGACGTGTCGATCCATTACTACACAGCTCCTATGTCTTGATAGATCTAGCATCAATTGTTTTCCGAATAAACAACTGTATGTCCAATTTATATACACGCAGGTCTTGTCTATGTCCATACGTTAATAAAAGGTATTTTCACCAATGATGACACTACATAAAAGTGACAAAACAAAACTTGAACATTCAGTTTTGAAGCCCTGAAATTGCATTGGACGCCTTTAACTTCCATACGATACTAGTATATCAGTAACTGGTGCTTGTCCTTGGTGCTGAACGCACAATACATCAATGGACGATCTCCTATATTTTGGCTGCCTTTAAAAGCGCTCATTTGTTTGTTTTATACCGTAGGCTGGTTCTATCTCTATTAGGAGTACCCAAAAAAGAAAGAGACACCCCTATAGCTTTTTGGGCTATTTCAAACGCGTCAAATATGGAATGATGATGATAACTGGTTTCTGTCCTTGGTGCTGCACGCACAATGCATCAATGGGCGATACTCCATATTTTTGGCTGCCTTTAAAACAGCTCAGCTGTTTTCCACCCTTGGGTACAGAAACATGTACCCAGGCTCAGTCGGATGCTCGGACAGGTTCCGGCTCACATCGAGGCTCTGGTGGTCACGTGACGGGCGCAGTTGGTACATGCGCAGTAGGGTGATGATGACGACCTGTAATATTGTTTAATGTAGGTATTGATTGANTGTGTGTGTGATTGTGTGTGCATGACTTTGGTTTTCTTTCTCTCTCTCTCTCTCTCTCTCTCTCTCTCTGTGTGTGTGTGTATCTATCTGTGTGTGAGTGTGTCTGTGTGCGAGTGTGTCTGTGTGTGTATGTGAATGTGCGTGTGTATGGCTTTGTTTTTCTTTCCTGTCTGTGTGTTTTGTGTGTGTTTCCGCATTTTTTAAAGTCTATCTCGTCCCTCCCCGCACACACCTAGGCATCCCCCACGCCGTTGATCGAGGCTGTGCGAAGGAGGCCAAGTCGTCGTATTGCGTCAACAAAGATTCCGCCCGTCACTGCTACTCCTGGTGCTTCGGGGACGGCTGTAACACCGCAACGGGAATCAAACCCGCGACTCTTAGTACCACCATAGGCTTCATTGTAGCCGTGATCTGTGTGTGGATACGAGCGTAACTTGTGTGTTGGTACGAACGTAACCCTAACCTCTATAGGACTTTCTTATGGCTGTATGCTAGCCTCCACCAGGCCTTCTTAACGCCTCATGAACACTAGTAGTAGCACATAGCCTCCACCAGGCCTTCCTAACGGCTCATGAATAGTAGCATCCACTAGGCCTTCTTAAGGGGCAATGGATAGTAGCATAAGGGGTTTTGGATAGTAGCACATAGCCTCCACCAGGCCTTCCTAAGGGGTTATGGATAGTAGCACATAGCCTTCACCAGGCCTTCCTAAGGGGGTTATGGATAGTAGCACATAGCATCTACCAGGCCTTCCTAAGGGGTTATGAATATTAGCCTCCACTAGGCCTTCTTAAGGGGAAATGGATAGTAACACATAAAGTTGATAGAGATCTCTAGTATGGGCCTTTTATTGGGTATATCCAAAAATGCACATATGTGTATAATCATTATGATAGTAAATTGTATAGACTACTATTAGGCATGAGATACTAGTAGTGTATGTATTTATGAGAGTTAGTCATAGTGAAATAATCAATCAATCAATCAATCAATCAATCAATCAATCAATCAATCAATCAATCAATCAATCAATCAATAGAACAATTAATAGAGCAATCAATGAAGTAAAACCTAGCAGACACACCCGTAGAACCGAACCAAAACCTCACATGTATGTAGGAATAAATGCAATTAAATATGGAACTACGGCAGGAATAACGATACAAAATGTATAGAAATGCTCGCGATATCAGTAGTGATAACTGCTTAGAAAGAGTACTGGTGATAAATAGATTATACATAGACAGTCAGTGGGATACGTGCAATTGTACTGTATAGTTTAAACTTCACCAGTTTTGTGCTACTATTTGTAGTTGTCAAATACTGGCAGAGTGTTAACTGCTAATTAAAAATGTCTTAAATGCTACGTGTGCCCTACATGGATAAAAATATAAATACCATTGTCTCAAACATCCTCGAACAATGTATATCAATTCATAACAAATGTTTACAAAAGTGCCTCCTGGCGACTAGTAGTAATACAACAGGGCACTGCTTTGACAGTAACTTTTCGGTTGTGTAAGAATACCTTTAGTTTGTTAATTGTTGACGTGTCGATCCATTACTACACAGCTCCTATGTCTTGATAGATCTAGCATCAATTGTTTTCCGAATAAACAACTGTATGTCCAATTTATATACACGCAGGTCTTGTCTATGTCCATACGTTAATAAAAGGTATTTTCACCAATGATGACACTACATAAAAGTGACAAAACAAAACTTGAACATTCAGTTTTTAAGCCCTGAAATTGCATTGGACGCCTTTAACTTCCATACGATACTAGTATATCAGTAACTGGTGCTTGTCCTTGGTGCTGAACGCACAATGCCCCAATGGACGATCTCCCATATTTTGGCTGCCTTTAAAAGCGCTCATTTGTTTGTTTTATACCGTAGGCTGGTTCTATCTCTATTAGGAGTACCCAAAAAAGAAAGAGACACCCCTATAGCTTTTTGGGCTATTTCAAACGCTTCAAATATGGAATGATGATGATAACTGGTTTCTGTCCTTGGTGCTGCACGCACAATGCATCAATGGGCGATACTCCAATATTTTGGCTGCCTTCAAGCGCTCAGCTGTTTGTTTCCACCCTCGGGTACAGAAACATGTACCCAGGTTCAGTCGGATGTTCGGACAGATTCCGGCTCACATCGAGGCTCTGGTGGTCACGTGACGGGCGCAGTTGGTACATGCGCAGTAGGGTGATGATGACGACCTGTAATATTGTTTAATGTAGGTATTGATTGATGTTAAATTTGCAGAGATTACTTTAATGACGTTTATTCTATTCTTATATTTACCGAAGGAAAACATATTGTTTTTGCTCAGTTTCTTCTTCTTCTCTAAAGAGTGACCTCAATGACCTGGACCAATGTTGTGTCTGTTACCATGGTAACTAGTGTTGGGTTACATCATGTTGCAATTTTATAGCAGGAGGGATTTAGACTCCTGTCTGACCATATATGTGAATGTGTTTCAGTAATTAGTACATTTATCTGTATTGTTATTAGATGGCAAATGTAAATAGTTGTTATGATGTTTGTATTTTAAATATATGTAAGGGGACTCCAGGAAGAGTAGTGGTTGTATTGTCACTAATTGGAGGTTTTTGAAACAAACAAACAAACAAACAAACAAACCTTCATCTGGACAGGTGCGATGGTCCGCCCTACACAGGAGCGCAGGCCTAGGCCAAACGGCATGAACTGGGTAGAAGGCACCTGTAACAAACATTCTCAGTATTAAGATTATCATGTTGAATCATGTTTGATGTTTTATGATGTTTTATTTGAAATCCATTAGATAAAATATCAGCATCTGACCTATTCTTCCTTGATTCCTGATAAAATTACAAATTTGAAGGAAAACCCATTGTTTTTCCACAGGCTCTGACAAGTCGTTTGTTAGGATAGACCGTGTGAAGGCAAACAGGTTGGCGACGTCTCAGGGAGGAGCCTAATGGTACAGCATTGTGTACAGTTTGCAAGAATTCTAGGAATTGTACAGGAATTTTGTCCACAGGCATGGAATGTCCAAAGGAATGTCTCCCAGCTCTGTTTGTTGACATGCCCACATTCCTGGAAACCCTTGGGAAAACCTGTCTGCCCCCGGTGCCCTACTTTCTGTCACCCCGGGGCTCGTTCACTATACAGGAAGGTAGGGTACCAAGGCTTCCTCAAAATCATAAAATCATGGCAGTGTCATGCAAATGATAACCCTAACAGTACCCACCGTCACCATGGCAATGTATGTTTTCATTGCCAGTCTAACAGTTTTCTAACCTTTTCTTTGAAGTGATCCGGGTCGAATTTCTCCGGCTGGGGAAAGTTCCGCGGATCCTGGTGCACGGCCACTAGGTTAACGATGACATTTGACCCCTTCGGTATGACGTAACCGTCCACGTGATCTTCCTCCTCGGCCCGGCGCATGACGAACGTCACCACCGGCCTCGTGCGCATGCTCTCGTTGATCACGTGATCGAGGAACGCCATCTTGTTGAGGTCCTCTCTAGTAGGATCTCGGTCTCCTGGATGGAAATTATGAGTCATTTAGGTTTTCTAGTTCACTTTTTGTGCAATGGGAACAGACCTCACTTTGCCACTGACAGTGTACGTTGAGTACTAGTTACTTAACTCTTTAACTTTTGTTGATATATAGGTTTTTTAAATATCAGTCAAACGAAGAACTAGGGTGCAGCATCTGCAAAAGCATAATTTTTATACACTCTTCTCAGTGGAAAATTTAATCCAACAGGAAACAAGATGGCGCCGGCATGACGTCACAATCCAACATGGCGGCGCCCATAAACGCCAGTGATGACATTACAGGTCTGCGATACTTTGCTTCTACGTACCGACGACCTCCCTGATTTCCCTGAGTATCCCGTCCTCCAGACCGTGCTCGGCGATGTGCAGCAGTATGAAGTAGATGTTGACAGACATGGTGTCCGGTCCGGCCACTAGCATCTCTGTCACGCTCTGCCGGACACAGCAGGCCGACAACTGACCATTCTCCTGTAGACGAAACATCATAGTTAGCATAAGTGACGGGTACAGTGTGAGATGTGACAGGATGAAGTAGATGTTGACAGACATGGTGTCCGGTCCGGCCACTAGCATCTCTGTCACGCTCTGCCGGACACAGCAGGCCGACAACTGACCATTCTCCTGTAGACGAAACATCATAGTTAGCATAAGTGACGGGTACAGTGTGAGATGTGACAGGATGAAGTAGATGTTGACAGACATGGTGTCCGGTCCGGCCACTAGCATCTCTGTCACGCTCTGCCGGACACAGCAGGCCGACAACTGACCATTCTCCTGTAGACGAAACATCATAGTTAGCATAAGTGACGGGAACAGTGTGAGATGTGACAGGATGAAGTAGATGTTGACAGACATGGTGTCCGGTCCGGCCACCAGCATCTCTGTCACGCTCTGCCGGACACAGGACGCCGACAACTGACCATTCTCCTGTAGAGGGAAACATTTAGCATAAGTGACGGGTGCAGTATGGAACGTATCAGAAAAACTATTAAACCTACCTCGCGGTTGAATTTTGTGTTTTTAATCGCTACTAAAGTTATTCAGTCCAGGTATTTGATACTTAAAACACATGATGAGCACGTGACGATCACGTGATGAACACGTGACAGTCACGTGATGAGCACGTGATGAACACGTGACGATCACGTAAAGAACACGTGACAATCACGTGATGAGTATGTGACGATCATGTGATGAGCATATGAAGAGCACGCGATGAGCACGTGATTACCTGTGCCTGGATGAGCGCAGCGGCGAAGTCATGTTCGCCTTTGGGGATGCTGAATTCTTCCTCGGCCTCATTCCCCTCCATGCAGGCCCTCTTCTTATCCACCAACTTCCCTACTACGTCCTGCAAAGCTTTCCTGAAGAGATAGTCACGGGATGCAAGTTAGTGGGTCAGTATACATGAAGAGGGTTTAAGATTCGGCTGGGAAGTCGTACAGGTGAGATATATTTTCTCGTATTTGATCAAAAGTCAAAATTTGAATCAATTAAGACAAATTGATGATAAAATACGTTGCATCCCTTACCATCTTCACGACATAGATTTTAATGTAATTCTATAGCCTCTACCAGCCTTCTGGAGGCGGCTGGAATGACTAGAAATCGGCCAAATAGAGGGATAGCATGCCAAGGGAGTTTGTCCGTTGAGAGACCCGCACCCGAATTGAACTGTTCTCTCAACGGACAAACTCCCTTGGCATGCTATCCCTCTATTTGGCCGATTTCTACTCTTTCCGGCTGCCTCCCGAAGCCTGGTAGAGGCTAGTAATTCTATCTTTCAGGCTTGTTACCCTTCCAATACGTTACACGCAGTTTGATGGCAACAGCCTTGCACAAGGAGAAAACTCTTACACTGCTTTCTTGTGTTTCCTGTACAGACTGGGTTGTACCAACTGCAGCGCTGTGGGCCGTATCATGAAGAACTCCCAAGCAGCGAAATAACCGTTGATTGTGTCCACAACCTCCAGATCTAAAGCGCAGCAAATGGCAAAGTAGCAAATCGTTGTAGCAGTTGTTCCGTACAAAGCGTTACATGCGTGTAGCTAGTACAGCAAATGTAGCAATATAAGGGAAAGCCTCTGATGTTGATACACTTTGGCATAGAGATTTTTGGCAGAGAGATAGTTTTGCTACAGCTATACAACTAACAGGTTTGTGACTTTACTTACACCTTTACAATGCTTTATTTATAGTGCACTATGTTCAAACTATCAAAGTTTATATAAACTGATTTGCACAAATGTAAATCTACTACAAGATATCTACGCTACCATTTTCTATGTTGACCCCCAGAAAAAGGCGGTTTCCGATTTCCAGCGTGATTCTGCGCATGAGCGTCACGACGTCGACAGCTCCATCCGGGTTACTTGAAGCCATGTCCCGGATGTTGGCCAGTTGTCGTCTGGTAGCAATGGCGGACACACCGGCCGCTCTGTCAAGGACTTCCTTGTAGAGTGCTGCCAAAGGGCATGTGATACGGCCGTGAATAGTTTGACCAGGTTAGTAGGAAAGGTATGAATTTTACACATTTGGTTGTCAACAGCCAGATACAAGTTTGGTCACCATTGGGACCCTGACATGCCCCGATGTTGTATCTTTGGGAAAGACACTTGTTACACGATTTTCCTCACTTCACTTAACTTCGGTCAGTGATGTCCCTCGGATAGGACTTTACATGGTGCGAGGTCCCGAGTTTGAGGAGAGCCACACCTCGATCACACTAAAGAGCCTGCCATAGTTCCCTTGAACAGACGCACTACAGAAACCTTGGCATGGTAAGTAAATCATTGTGCCTGTGCAATAAATAACTGTATCATGGTGTTGAGTCTGTATGGAACTTCTAACAGCAAATGTTTGAACACTGACGATGACAAGTGACAAGGCAATAAGATTTTGGCAAGCTTAAGAGTACAACAGTTCGTTTCATCGATCATCATCAAGAACTGATAGTCTTGAATGTTTGTATTGTCTCCGCACAATAACCTTAACGCGTGGATGAGGGTCATACATCAACGTGTAACACGTGGGAGCTGAAAATCAATTCACACTTAATCCCCTGTTATATACATCCTAGGTCATCGCACGATTTTATTTCACAGCATTTTCAAACAGGCTGTAACCAAGGAAGTGGTTTTGCCCGTATAACCTTGCAGTCACAGAACCAATCACCGCCATGCCCGTAGCCAGGGCATGACGGTGAACCCCCCCACAAGGCTCAAAGGTCCACTTTTTATGTAAAGGTCCACTTTTTGGTCCACTTTTTATGTAAAGGTCCAAGATTTTTCTTGAAAACATGGACTGGAATCATAGAAAAACTGCTCCCTTTGTCATTGAATAAAAAGTTATCTCAAGATTTCCTTGGAAATCCTCTCAAAAATGCACGAAATGCCATTTTAGAAGGTTCATTTTTCAAAATTTTCCGGGGGAGCATGCCCCCGGACCCCCCTAGGAACCTCGCGCCTTCGGCACTCGAGGTCCCCTCAAGCAGTGGGAAGACTCCCCCCCCATTCAAAATCCTGGCTACGGGCATGACCGTAACGTTGGATTTTCTGGATACATGCACGGTTATCATAAGAATGCCCTCTATCTAGTTACTGTGACGTGTTATAAGATATTTGGTACGTCACTTTATATCAAGGGGCCAGTACCTGGCCTGTGTACGTAGGCAGGACTTTATATCATGGCTATGATAAATGCAAGTTTTATCCCTGTGTTGTCAAAACGTGTGACCTTCACAAAGGTCACAGCTGGCGCGTCACAAGTCTCCATCGGTCGTATACACGCCATCTTAACCTTGAGAAATGAAGAAGTGGGCCTTGAGGTTATCGAAGGACGTAGAGAGGGATATGAAATGCACGTTCGATTCTAAACCTCCATAGCAGGATACTGCTGAGGCTATCTATAAAACTTAGTGGTGCCAAATTATGACCGCTTGCCTGTTGCAATCCCTGTTGCAATCAAAAACAATACATGATAAAAATAAGCAACAACAAAAGACATAATTTTCTGCAACGTCTTCATTTAATTGGCATTCCTACCTCCTTGGTAGAATAATTAAAATACATTCATTTTTTGGGAACCTTATGTTGACTTTACTCAACTTGGCAAGTGTCTTCGCGATTCTCAACCATATGCATTCTTGGTGTATCTCACAAGACAACTGCCATCTATTTGATCCTTTTTATGTTTACTAAAGGAAAACATATTGTTTTTGCTACATTTCCTCTTCCTCTTCTTCTTCTTCAAACACTGACCTCTGAACTGGCCAATGACCTGATTTGTTGTCGTCTCTCACTATGGTAACTGGTGTTGGGTTACATCATGTTGCAATTTCATAGCAGGAGGGATTTAGACACCTGCCACCATATACTAGATTGTGTTTGAGTAAGAATTAACAGAGTAGACCATAGGCGAAGGTAAACATTATGCATTTGCTTTGCAAATGTTACCTTTATAGTTTTTCACTATTTTTTTTACCTTTGACGAAGAAGAATCTGAAGGATTTCCAGCTGCGCACGTCGTTGTTGAAGATGACCCCTGACCTCTGCATGCCGATCTGCGCAAGCCCAGAAGGGTCGCCGAACCGAGATCGGTAGTTACTGGACTTCAGGACATGCGCAGCAGCTGATGGACTGGGGATGAGTTAGAAAAACACAACAAGTCATTTATTTACATGGGTTTAAAAGTAGCAACCGGAGATAATGAAATAGATCGATGCAGCACACAAGCACACACGTACAAACCACACCCACTCAAACCCACTCTCTCACACACATGCACACAGCGGCACGCACACACACAGGCACACACATATTATATACACACGCACACACACACACAAGTACACACACACACACAAGTACACACACACACACACACAAGTACACACTCACATACACACACACACACACACACACACACACACACACACACACACAAACACACACACACACACTCTGCTCGGTCCCGAGCCAGACCCGCACGAAGTCCTCGTACTTTGCGGCGTACACAGACACACATGTAACCACCCATATACACTCAACAAAGAGAGACAGATACACAGACAGACAGGTAGGCACAGCCCAAACACAATGCTTTCCACCATTTCGTTTCAGGAACTAACATCTCACCTGCTGACGATGAAAGTCTGCTCGGTCCCGAGCCAAACCCTCACGAAGTCCCCGTACTTAGCGGAGTACGCGGCGGTGCACGCCCAGATCCCGTCACGCAGAAATATCCACAGCGTCCATATAGGTGTCAGGACAGGGATGTACGGGGGACCTAGTGGTGCACATAGCAGGTAATATCAATCAATCAATCAATCGATCGATCGATCGATCGACCGACCGACCGACCGACCGACCGACCGACCGACCGACCAACCAACCAACCAACCAACCAACCAATCAATCAATGAATCAATCAATCAATCAAGGAGCGTAACTCAAATGAAGTCTTCCGTACGGTTACAGTGCTTTAGGTGCTTTATTAACTCCATTAGCAGACATATACGTACAAATAGACAGCTAATCTTCCTGGAGTAACAGACATACAACATATAAACTACATAAAACTGAACATTCTTTACGAATAACGTAACACAAAAGTTGTATGGCAAGCTGGTAAATATGAAAATATGACGAGTTAGTCATGTATGCGGAGTGAAAAGGCTTACTTAGTAGCTTTGTTGAGTTCTCGTGCTCGTTATCTTGCCTCCATTATATCCATGTCTTTAGCTCTATCATTATCACCTGTGTGTTCAAAATGAGAAATTAGTGACAAGTCTTTACGTCTTACCTGGAGGGGTTTTCCCACCATGACCGCTTATCCAGGTTTCCCGGACGTAATACCAGACAAACATCACCAGAAACACCACCAGAAGAACGTCCCAAACATCGCCTGGGTCCATCCTGTCTAGATCTGGTGCGGCGTGCCTCTGACTGCTACAAATACTGCTACAAGCCAGCTATTGCTACACGGGTCTCTGGCGCTGAATGGTCACAGTGACTGCTACAACTGCTGCTACAACTATTGCTACAAATTAGCTATTGCTACACGGGTCTCTGACGCTGAATGGTCAGAGTAACTGCTACAACTGCTGTTACAGTCACGGTTTTTGGCGTTGAATGGCCACAGTAATTTCCACAACTACTGCTATGTACAGCTACCTCTCACCGTTCCTAACCCTGAATGGTTACTGTAATTGCTACAACTATTGCTAGCTACTGTTACCTCTCCTCTGTTTTGCCACAAGAAACTGTAACATCTGTACTGTTGAAACAACTTTTCACACATATCCTATCTCCTGTCCTTGTAACAACCACCGACCTTCTACAGTCACGCAAAGCTTTCTGAGCGAATAATAAATAGAGATGCCTAGGCATGTTGCAGGCGCCAAGGCTAACCTGAGGTTAGATTGAAAGATAACCGTACTTCCTCTTGTGATGATTATGACATGAGTGATTACGTCAACGGACAGATAACTTTTGGAGAATGTGATATAAAAATCCTTGAACTTATCTTGAGTATTTTACTGCATCACGGATTGTGAACACATGTGAATTGATAATACTGTGGTTTTGTGAGGACTATATCAAATTGGACGTCGACTTGGAAAACAAACGTTCATACTATGATGCATTGTACAGAACTTGTCACTTTTGAGCTCGTTCTTGTACCAATTCTTGAACAGATATTATTGTACACAGAAAGAATGGTGACCTTAGTGGAGAAAGCTACAAGATCAGTAGCAACTTTCTACCACATATTTTCAATCGGGTACAAGTTCATGGGCAATTTCGGTTTATTTTTTTTTCACTGAGAACCTTGGGGATTATTTAAATGTCGTTCTACCGTTCCTAACAACTGCAGTGAAAACTCCAAGTCATTCACAAACATTACAACAAAGCCTTGACGTACGTAATTTATTAAATTCGGTAACAATTCCATCAGAAGACGTACGTAGATACAAAAATAAACGTCTGCTGCTCATCTTCTGTTCACAAAAGATTGTTTATCTAAATATCTTAAATTCCTATTTTCGTCGTAAGAAGAATAGCAGCTTCTGCAACATATCTTTAGTATGCTAACGATACATCTCTATTATTTGTCTTTGACAACTTGGGATCAAAACGACAACCTGTACAATTGCACTTGATTCGGTAACATGTATACTATAATCTAATATTTGATGGAATTCAATATAACAGAACAAATAATACATATCATATGGGTAGGTTGGTCAGCCTCGCTATAGTGTGCCTTTGTGTTACATTGCAATGGAGGAATGGGGCAGATATACTGCATGTTGCAGTAAGAATTAACAGCATCCAGCTTTACTATCATGAAAGTTCGATTCATCTGTGTTGGTTGTTACATGTTTCAGGGCCCATCACCCTTCACTTAACCGCGACGGGAGCCGACATCGTCTACCAGATACCTTTGACCCAGTGTTGACGTCACACTTCAAAGAAGCCACGTGACAAGCCTCACTGGGTCAGTCTACTGAGGAAGACCAGAGTGACTGGTCGAAAGCTCTAGGTGAGAGAACTTATTTGTGTTCGATCAATAGTTTCAACTCTAAACAAACATCCAGCCTTCATTGCTCCAGACTTTCTTTGCACAGTGTTTCTTAAGGTGCACTCACTCGTCTTCCTCTTCTTCACTCTCCTCTTCGGAGGAGCTTGTCGGAGCTTCCCCGAAAATGTCATTCCCCTCCATCTCGATAGGTGGTGCTTGATCCACGTCTCGTGATTTGAGTTGCAGCGTCACCAGTGACGAGGAATCGCGCATGCCGAATACGATCAACTTCCCGTTCATGGCCACGTTACAAGTCTGGATTCGCATGT